CTTACCCAAAATCATCCAGTGGCCAACCAGGGAACTGAACCCTGATCTTCAGAGTCCCAGTCCTACACTGAAACCACTACACCACAGTGCTGCATTAATTAATTACATTCATTCATTATTCATCACACACATCACCAAAAGACCAAGATTCTATACACTTTTAACATAGCATAAATATGTAGCTGTGTACACTGGATGGCACAGTTGAACAGAATGGGCACCATGGCCTTGAATTTGCCTATTGTACAGTGGACAATTAGTAGTGTATCTACCAAGTAAAAAGTGAAAGAGGGGCTGTGTGTGAACTTGAAGTGCAATTGGCTGCAGTAGCTATTACACTGGTGCTGTATAACATATGCCAAGATCCTATATCAGGCAAGTAGAGGGCTCTGCTCATGCAGTTCCATGTCTTCCCCTTTGCCAGCTGCTTTCATTCCTCAAACAGAGCTGTTGCGCATGTCTACCCAACTCCCTGGTGCTCCAAGTAGCAGGACCTAACCATTAATAATGTCCTGGTGCAGCAATAAGTGTGGCCAGTCACAACTTCCCACTATTACATGTAGAACTGATAGCCTTTTGACTGAAGAGTGGGGTATAAATACTACTACTACTACTAATAATAATAATAATAATAATAATAACAACTGCCTACACCATCTCATAAACATACCAAGGCCCACCAACAGGCATACATTCAGATTTTCCTCAGACCTTCTAGATAAATTCCTTAAGGGTTAACATGGAGTCATCCATATTAATATAATACAAACTCATATTTAAAAATAATTGCAAATTTGCTCATTTAGAATGAGCCCTCGTTATACAGTTTCTGCATCCATGGATTCCACCATCCATGGCTTGAAAATATCCCCCCTCCAAAAATCCAAAAAGCAAATTTTGATTTTGTCATTTAAAAAAAGTCAGGGACACAATTTTTCTACACCATTATATATAATAGGACTTGAGCATCCTCAAATTTTTGTATCTATTGGAGGGGGCTGGAACCAAACCCCAGCAGATACCAAGGGCCCACTTTACACAAGACTTTGTATATGTGTGATAATCTGATCATTTGCATACACCCAACCACCATGTAAGTTTGGCCTAGTAGGGAGGCTTCTGATTCATAGCACAGCATGAACAAATATGTGGCTGGTTTCATATGCAAGTCATACAGAACTATGTGTATGTTGTATGAAAGAAAGGCAAGAAAACATAAATGAAATAAATGAGATGAAAGAAGGAGAATGATAAGCAACTTGCTCAGTTTTTTAAGGCCAGACCATGAGACTTTGCTGGCTGAGAAAAAAGACACGATGGTGTCCTCCCTATCCTGCAGGCAGAAGTGGACTTGACTTAAACCCTGGTTATAGAATTGTGTGTTTCACCAGACCTAAGATGGGGAAGCCTTCCAAGGTTGTGTGGCCTTCAGAGTTCTGTCCTCCAAAAGAGAAGAGCGGCTGTTCATGAAGAGCAACCAGGAAAGGGCCACCACAATTGTCTTCTGCTTGACACAATCATCTCATTCTGTTGCACTGGTAGTGCTCACCTACTAGCTCCAGGCTTAACACTCTAAAGTCAGAATTTGTTCTCCCTGCACCTATCTGCACAGAATGTGGGTTGTCAACCATTACATAGGAACACATCACATAGGACACACCTGGCACATGTAAATATTACAAGCCTACAGCTGAATGTCATTATCCCAGCTCCCTAGAGACAGTGAGTTGTATATGCTTAAAATTTGTGATTTGCTGTTTGGAAGACATCAATTTACCTCCTTATGGAGATTCAGTCAGAAGAGAAGAGAAGATTTGAAGCAAAAGGAAAAGCTAATGGCAGACAGAAACCAGATCAAAGTCAAGTTGGGGTTAGGCAGGGAGAGGATGAATCTGGCCAACTCTAAATTACTTCAGGCTGAGACGGACACATTTTAAAAAAAAAACAGAGAGCAGTAATGCAAAAATGGCATTCCTCCAGCTTTAGAACCAAACAATAATAATCTTTCTTCTACAGGTACCATTTAATCTATAACAAAATATTGCAAGGTTACTGTGGTTACCTGAGCCCTGATGTGTGCTTCAGTATGTCAATATCAGTCCCTGATTAACACAACAAGGGAGATCACCATGATGTTTGGAACTTTGTCATAAGGCCAAGTAAGAGATAGGTGAGAAATATCAAGCTCAACATTAAACAACTATGATGGTGGTTGCATGAAGAACATTAAAGAGACAATGGAATGTTTGGAATGCTGCCGAAATAGTGGCTTGTTAAAATCAATTGTGTGGAGACTTCTTATAAGTTGCAGTCTCCTTTTCCTATATGTGCTTAGTATTTCATACGTTGCTTCATATGAATTACAGCCCTGCTACAGTGAGTGCTATTACATTATGCAGTGATTAAGAAATCTGAATTCAGAGACATGTTAGATTCTGGAGTACAGAGAAGACAAATTATTATTTGTCAGGGTGAACACTGAAGTTTAATCTCCCAAGAACAGAATTATAACCTGAAATATAAAGAAATCACAGTATTTTTATGCCTGGAAGTTAATGATAGCCCACTTCAGAGTAATAGCACAATTCATTGCATCTCCATTACCAAGGAATGGTATTTAGATGGAGCTGTAGTGCCTTTACATTATTATTATATCTGTATTTATAATAGAAAACATTCATGAGTCATATACCACTACAAAGATTAGAGATTCACTTTACGACTTCAAGACACTTAATGGTCTAATGCTTTACCAAATACGGGTTTAGGTCTTGAAGAACCATTGGCTCTCTTATATTGGATGACAATATGGGGAAAAAATATTCTGTTGTAATAGAATAGAATTCTGTTATTTATTTAGAACCTTTGCAATGGTCACAAAGTTTTAAAATCCAAGTAACACAGAAACAAGACTTCTCTATGTTGCCCATGAGTCTCACTATTTGTGACATCCCATCCTAGATATCCCTTTGTAATCCCAGTTTATTATAGAGTCCTTAATCATCCCAGCTATCATGTTGGAGAATGCCCATACATCTTTCTGATTTGCTATGAAATGCTGTCAAGCAAGGCTCAATTTTTATATCACAAATCTATTTTTCTTGATGCTAATTTAGAACTAGACTGTTACTAAGGTCCTGAAAGGCAATTTGTTA